GGGGCTGCAGTGGGATGGCAGGAAACACTTTCAGGAGGTCAGCCCCTCGTCCCCATCTTTATGACATCCTCAAATGCCATCTGTATACCTTGCCTTGGAGAATTCCTCATAGTGGTCTCCAGTCTCATCAGAGTTCCCCTTGCTGGGCACACCATCACCATGGTCCCCAAGTCTTGAACAGTTCTAGCTATATCATCATTTGGGTTTACCTCATTTTTCACCCATCAGAAACCACTATGCGTGAATTGCACCTCAAATTTCTTTTTTTTTTGTGGTGCTGGGGATTGAACCCAGGGCCTTGTGCATGGAAGGCAAGCACTGTATCAACTGAGCTATATCCCCAGCCCACACCTCAATTTTCAAAAGAACAAAAACTGTAACTGTTCATCTCTGCTAACAGGTACCAGAGGGCCAGTCGCTGAGCTCAGTTCTCGCCGAAGGCAAGGCATTAGTGGATGGTCTTGTGATAGATACTAAATGGATGGTTACTTCAGGGATTTTTGACTATTTAAAATGGCTTGTAGGTTCCTGATGAGTGAATCTCTGGGTCCCCCACACTTAGGACAGTTTCTGTATCCGTACCCATCTGTGTGCTGTGGCCTCCTCAGGAGCAGGGCAAGGGAAGCACTAGGGAGGGCCCCAAACTGGGAAATCTGAAAGCTGCTTTCTAGTCCATGTGTGGCCACAGGCCAGCTGTGTGGCTTTGGGCACCTCAGCCTCCTTGTCTATAAATGTTTTGCCCTGGAATTCTGTAAGGCATCTTGGAGCCTAGTCCATCTGTGACAGTAAATGACATAAACTTGTCCTTGCCAAATCTGCAATGGCACAAAGGGGCACATATCACATTTCCTTTTGGTACCTGCCATGCTATGGATATGGTCAGAAGATGACAAATATTCTCCAGAGTCACACTGGATTAGACGTAGTGTCCATGCCTAAGAAGTCACGGGAAGGTGACTTGCCTCTCCCTGTGGGTCCTTGGCACAGAGGAAACCTCAGAACCTGAGGTTTGAATGCACTCCTTCTAGAGTGCAGGTGTTGGTGCAATACAGGTGAAAAGTACAACCTTTCCTGTTAGATGTTATGATGCTAACAGAAATTTTAGAAATTATTATTTTTTATTTTTGAGAACTAGGGGGTTGGACTCAGGGGCACTTGATCACTGAGCCACATCCCTATTTTGTATTTTGTTTAGAGACAGGGTCTCACTGAGTTGCTTGGTGCCACACCGTTGCTGAAGCTGGCTTTGAACTTGTGATGTTCCTGCCTCTGTCTCTGGAGCCACTGGGATACAGGTGTGTGCCACTGTGCCCAGCGTGATATTTCAGAAATTATACAACCAGTGAGCCTTGTCCCCCAGAGAAGTCGCCTGGAAACTGCACTCCGAGTGTCACAGTTGTTGCTAGTCAGAACCTTCCGTAAACAACCTGAGAGAGCAGGCTGCGTGCCACTTAGCCACATTCAGTTTGAGGCCCCAACAGAATTCTATCATTTGGCCCATGTTTG